GCAGTGAGCATGTTGAAGTGCCAGGCATCATCGGCTGGGCTGACGGGTGCTGGCATCTAGTGTCTGGCCTCTGGTATTGGGGTGCTCCACAGAGGAGCAGCTGCAGAGAGCAGGGGAAGGCCACTCCCCAACCGCACACCTCATAGTGGGGCTGCTTCCCTCCTGCAGGCCTCTTCAGCGAAATCTGCAGGCAGCCTGATGCACTGCTGGCCGAGTGTCCTCGCCAGCCTCACTGGCAGAGTCCCCGCTCAGGCCGCCAACTGTGGTGCTAATTAGCTTAATTAACCAGGCCCGAGGGAGCCGCCCCAGTTGGAGGCCTGAGCCTGCAGTCAGCTGGGACCAGCCTCAGCCAAGGCGGAGCCACTGGTCGCCTTCCACATCCATCTGGTGGCCCAGGCCACCGTGCCCGCCGCAGACCACCGTCGTTCGTGCCTCTGTGTACCTTTCCAGTGCAAGTGGTTTAATTCCACAGCATGGCGAAACCCACACAGTAACGGGCAAACCAGGGACTGTACCCAGCCTGTGACCAGAACCTGAAGAAAAGGGCTTATCCATCCGGATGTCCTGTATCTCTGCTTTGAAAAGTTCAAAGGAACATGAGCCAAACTGCTGCAGAGAGTCTGCCGGGAAAGCTAAGCCTCGCCCCTCGCGGCCCCCAGCCTGGCGGCCGCCCTCCCCAGAAACAGCCACTGTTTGACTTGTGCATCCTTCCAGAGCCAGTCGGGCACGACTGAGCCCGTGCCTGTGTGCGAGTCCCTCCCACCCCCCTTACTTAGCAGTGGGGACACCGCCTGTCTCTGCCTCTCTCACTCCCTCTGGTCTCTCCAGGTGTCGTGGCGACCTCGTGCTTTCTAGCAGACTGTCTGTTTTGCCTTCAGAGGTCATAAGGTGTTGGCAGTTACAGAGACCGAGAGCTTGAAAGAAAGGAAGTTTCGGCCAGGCGCTGGCTCAGTTTCTTGTGTTCAGTTTGGTATTTTAACCTGGAATTAGCAATATTTGAAAGTATTGTTTAAATTTGCAATATAGAAGAAACATTGGAAAATCCTTCCAGAAAGAATGATGTCTGACTCTCCACGCTGAATTCCATCACACTTTATCCCTTTAGACTTGTCATTAATAGTGTCAGGTGGTGGGATCTGCGGCAGGCGAGATGGGTGCAGAGGTGCAGGTTGGGGGAGAAGATTCTGGCATGATTTCTTCTGGAGCTTTGTGCTTAGAGTAATTAGGAACACCCCTCTAGTGTCCTGGGGTCCCGGGTCTTCCCGGGGAGTGGGAAGGTGATGTTAGCAGATGAATACAAGTTAAGCAGAGCAGGGAAGGAATTCTTGCCCTCTTTTGACTTTTAGATATATCTCTGTACTTTTCTTTCTGCTTTATAAAAGTCATTTTTGCTTGTCATGGGAGGAGGGAGGGAGGGAGGAAGGTGGGTTCTGTGTGATACATATTTAACTGCTCGCGAGCGTGGCAGGGCCTGTTCCCAACACTGGCTGTAGAGTAGAGGAGACTGCAGTGAGGTGGCAAGAGTGGGCCCTGAGTGCCTGGGTACCCAGGCGTGTCGGCTGAGGTGAGTGAGGGGAGAGGCAGCGCAGTGCCGCGTGAACCAGCGCGCCTGGGCTGGGCGGGGGCCTCTCTGAGAGGCGGCACTGAGCTAAGCCAAAAGGCTGACACGCCGCCAGCCACGGGGACCTTGCCTGGGCACCCCAGGCAGCTGGAAGGGCCAGTGCAAAGGCCCTGAGGCAGGTCCATGCCTGGTGTGTTTCAGGAACCTCGGGAGGCCCGTGTGGGAGGAGGAGAGAGCCGGGGCAGGGAGGGTGGGGCCTTGTGGGCTGTGGTAAACCAGCTTTTTTGAAAGAGAATCCCCCCGTGTCCACCTTGTGAGAGGAGAATTTGGTGAACTTCAGTGGGCCGAGCTAAGCTGGGTAGAGCTTTGTTGTCTGAAAATGACCTCACACCATATGACATCTCTGGAAAAACCCCTTTCTGCGCTGTGTGGGGCAGGCTGCAGGGTATTGTTCCCCGGGCGCTGTCCTTCCCTGGGGGCCTCACCCTTCCCTTCTGGCCGCTCCAGTCTCTGCCGCACACCAGGCCCCCTTGAAGCAGCTGGTTCTTCTTGCACCCAAGAAGGCCCTTCCGAAGGACACACTCCAAGAAGTAAATCTCCGAGGGCACAGAAAGTATGGGTTTTAAAGTTTTCAGTAGGTCTTTCTCCACCCCTCCCTGAGGAGAGCCTGTGGAGAAGCCCCTTTCCTGAGGTAGACCAGGCCCCTCCCGGAGGGGGGGGCAGCCCGAGGGAGCCCTGCACTGAGCCACATGCTCCCCTGTGCCTGGGAGCCTGGGAACTGCAGAATCAGAAGGGAGGGGTAGTCCTTCCCCCTCCCGTTCTGCTCTTCGTGGGGGGTGCGCCTCTCTCCTTCTCTTCGTCTCTGTCTCTTGTATCGAAAGCTTTTCATGAACGGTCCCTGCTAGCAAGAAAGCCAGAGCTGCCCTAGACCCGGAATCCTATTTGGGGGGGAATATGACCTGACAAGAAAAAACTTGCCAGCCTCTCTTCCTGCCTTTGTTAAAATCCCAAGGCTGGCAGCTGAGAGAAAATAAGAAAATGTAGACTTCAAAACCCGCAGGAGCCCAAGATACTTTATTTCTTTGTGGGTTCAAAGACTTCTTTTCTAGTCACCAAACGACGAGACTGGGTATCAGTTTTTTTAAGCTAGTTTTTATTCTGATGATTGTTATAACACATGGTTATGGGAAAATAAATTCAGATGGTTCAGGAGGGTATCAGATGAAAAGTAAAAGTCCCATTTTTCCAGCTCCTTATTTAATAAGACTCCTACTTCCCGGAGGTAATCATTATTCATAATTTCTTCCAGAAATTTTTTTCTGCATATAAGAGTATATTTTTTTAGCCAAGTGTGGTTATGTTCCCCAAGCTGTGCCTCGCTCCTGGTGCCATCTCTGTGACGGGCGCGTGGCAGCCCGCACGGCCCTGCCTCCCCTGCGCTTGCAGCCTCGTGGCCTTTCAGAGTCCAGCTCTTCCACCCATGGGCTTTGTGACGGGGGACAAGTGTCTTGGAGTCGCCTGAGCTCCCTGTGCCTCAGTTTCCCTCCTGTACAGTGGAGGTGACAGCAACCCCGGTTCCCAGGGAGAGCTGCTGTGGAGCAAGTACCTGGTACCCATGAGGGTGGCCATGTTGGCTGAGGTGTGGGTGGGGGCGGGGCAGGTGGCAGCTCATGAGGGACCCCATTCTCACTGCGAATGTGAGAACTAAGCCCAAAGGTCGAGCCATGCCCGGAAGGCAAGCGGAAGCCTTGAGTAACCCCAGGCTTGAGGATGTAGGATCCCGGGGAGAGCGCGTGTGGGGGTGGGGGTGGAGCCCACACAGGCTGAGGGGCAGTGGAGGGCTGAGCAGCCTCGAGCAGCCCTCCTTTCCCGGGGGCCTCGTGGGTCGGGCCTCGAGTGCCTGGCCGCCAGCCCAGCCTCCCGGTGAGCTCAGCCGGATCCCAGACGAGCGAGCGAGAGGAGGGTGAGAGGTGGTGCCCCACTGCAGACCCCAGGGCAGGAACCAGCACAGCCCTGCGCAGACCTGGGCCTGCCACCTCCAGCTTCTGCTTAGCCCCAGGCCGTGTCAATGGCTGGAAGACCACAAAGTGTTCTAGAAGGCAGGGCAGCTGGGCTCTAGAGTGCTGAGGAGGAGGGTGGTGATTGGAATGTCCTGGAGCCACAGACAGACTCCTTGGGTGGCGATCCCACTGGAAACCTGGGGTGGAAATGGGGCTCTGTGCCCCTCCCTGCCCTGGGTGCAGGCGCCTGCTCCCCCCCGCCCCCGGCCCCAGCTTGCAAGCTCTTCCATGACACTCACCTGACCTTACATGTGGGGTTCCCTTTCTCTTCATTTGTTCACCGTCTGTCTCTCTGACTCCGCTCTGTGTTCACTGATGTATCCCAGGAGCCTTTAGCAGGTCTGGCACAGAGTGCCCCCCCGCCCCCCAAAAAATTCTGGGGATGAGGGAATGGGATGAACTGGGTCGTCTTCTGCAGTCACACCTTCTCCAGGAGAGGGAGAGGGGGCTGCGGCTGCTCCCCCAGGGAAACAGGTCCCAGGGTCAGGACAGCGCTGAGGGGCACCTAGAAGTTCCCGAGGCCCCTGTGACACTGACCCCCCGTTCCAGGCAAGTGGACACCAGCACGAAAAACGTCTTTGGGCAACCTCGTTTGAGAGCCTCCCTCCGGGACCTCCGCTCCCCACGGAAGAACTACAAGTCCACCATCGAGGACGACCTGAAGAAACTCATCATCATGGACAACCTGGCGCCCGAGCAGGAGAGAGAGGCAGGAGTACGTACCCCACCCTCAGGGGCCCCCGCGGCAGCCTCTCCCGCCTCCCCACCAGCCCCGCCACCTCCATGAAGTGTGTGTGACTTGGTGGCCGGCCTCAGAGTCACCGCATAAAGCAACGGGGGTGTGGGCGAGAACCCCACTCCACAGCCCTCCCTGGAGCCCAGCATGGAAGCAGCCCGCCCTCCCACCCTGCGGGACCAAGTGGAGAAGACATTCCCGGGGAGAGGCCGCCCTTGTGCCCAAGAGTGGAAAGAGGCAGGACTAGCAGGCCCTCTCTGCACGCTCCACTCCACTCTGCCCGACCCGCACTCTGGGCACCCGGGGGCCCCAGCTCGTGGTTCTGCCCGCCAGCCCCAGCCCTGTCTTCCTTGTCCTCGACTGGCCCCCATTGGTGGGCCCGGGTCACACCACCTTCCCTGAGCAGGAGGGTGGGGTTGCTTCCAGAACCAGGTCAGCAGTGAGTAAGTGGGGAGCAGGAATCCCCACAGGAAAGCTGAGGTGCTTTGTCCAGAAAGGGGCAGAAAAGAGTGCCGGTGGGTAAAAGCTACAGATGCCCAGGACAGGAAGCTGCCCCGGGGGCCTGTGCCAGGGCCAGGCCGTGACCGCGCCCGCGTGTGTCCCCCCCCCACCTCAGCAGCAGTCGCCGCAGAAGAGCCTGCAGCGGACGCTGTCGGACGAGAGTCTCTGCAGCGGGCGCCGGGAGCCCAGCTTCGCCAGCCCTGCCAGCCTGGAGCCCGGCCTGCCCAGCGACGTGCTCTTCACCAGCACCTGCACCTTCCCCTCCAGCACGCTGCCTGCCCGCCGCCAGCACCAGCACCCCCACCCGCCTGGGGGGGGCCCCAACACCATCCCCGCCACCGGCAACGGCTTCCCAGAGAAGAAATGTGAGTCTGGAGCCTGGGGCAGGCGGGCCTGGGGCTGCCCTGGCGCTTAGGCCCGTCAGCTGAGGGCAAGGACGGGGCTCTATGTGGGCTTCAGGACAAGAGATGTGAGTCACGCTAACACCTGGGGGTCACCCCAGAGTCAGGCGCCCTTGGATGGGGACCACCTGAGACCAGAGGGGACATCAGCCCCTCTAGCATCGAGCAGGGGTGCTCATCACCGGAACCCTGAGGACCTGGCTTTGCCCTGACTCCCTGGGCACCCTGCCCCCACCTGTTCAGCACCCTCATGGCAGGTGTTACTTCCCTGATGCTCCCCGGTCTGCCAACTCCTGCAGGGTGGGGTGGCTCACTCATCCCTCTATCCACCCAGCAGATATTTGCTGAGCTCCCCCAGGAAGGGGGCACTGTACACACAGCCCCTGTCAAAAAATTCTGGGTTCTGGTATGAGGTTCTGGGCTCTGGTGTGGTGTAAGCACACCACAGCGCAGCCCCCTGGCAGCCATGCTTTAGCAGGAGTCCCCAGGCTTCCCTCTGTGCCTCCTCCCTTCGCCCCTCATCCTTGTGCCCTGTCTGTAGAACCTGCACGTAGCGGGCATTGAGCACACAGTGCAGGTTGGTGACAGGGACCTAGGCGGAGCAGGCGAGCACAGAGAACAGACAGGCTGATTTGAATGCCCCTGACGAGCTGGGCCTTGCCTTTCTGCCTCAGCACCGCCTCCTCCAGGAAGTCCTCCCTCCCTGACCACTCTGAGTCAGATGCCCCTGGGGCATCTCTCATCCTGTCCCTGCTGCCTCTGCCATATGCTTGCCCACCACAGCCCCACTCACTCTGGGCCGTCATTTTTGTGAATGTCTTTCCCCTGCTGAGCTAGAGGCCCCCTGGGATCAGGACCACCACCACCACCCCCAGACCAGGGCCCTAGGTCTCACAAAGCACACATAGCACCTCCCTCTGCCATCCAGCTCCCCCAGCTCCCAGTGCCAGGGAGAATCCCGTCTTACCTCAGCACAGAGCCCGTGGCCCTCCAGCTCCCCGGGCCTGCTCGAGAGCCCTTCCCAGCCCACCTCCAAACTGAAGAGTCTGGGCCTCGGCCTCGCTACTGAAGGGCCCTCCATGCCAAGGAGCCTCTCTGCAGCGCCCAGGAGCTCGCTGGGCAGAGACAGCTGCTCCCGGAGCTGGAGCCGAGGACCAGAGGCCAAGGGCTTGGTGTCCCCTGACGTTCAGTCACTTGGCAGCTGCTCCCTCGCCCCGTACCCCCAGTGCTGGATGGCCCGGGTCCCCACAACCAAGCTGTGCCTTGAGTCTTTGGACTATAAAATGAGGGCAGAGGTAGCACCCGCTGCTTGGGGTCGTCGGGACTCCGGCCGGTCAGTGCACGGAAGGCGGCGGGCAGTGAGCGCCGAAGGACAGCTGGCTTCTGGCTGTTCCTGCCAGGAGCGTCTTGGGAGCTCACAGGCTGGTCTGTCCTGAGTCGAGTTTGGCCCCCAGCCTAGTCAGCAGGAGTAAGGCGCCTCCCGGACCCCAAAACCCATGGCTTGGGCCTAGACCTTGGATTCGGTCCCGGGGCACCACCAGCGAGAGCGCGAACTCCGGCAGGGCAGCTCCTGGCTCTGAGTCCCGATTTCCCCACCACGCTGGGTCCTAGCCTGTCCAGTTCCCAGCCAGACCCCGCCTTCCCGCCTGAGTCTCCTTGACCGCAGCGGGGGTGCTGCTGCAGATGCCGGCGTCACTCCCATGCTGGGGCTTCGGGGTCGCTTCCCTGCCAGGCGTCACAGCTGAACCTCCTGCGCCTGTCCCCTCGATGGTTTACCCGGCAGCCTGGCCGTCTCCTCAGCCCCAGGGGTGGCCAGCCACCCCGCCACCAGCTCACAGTGGCAAAACGAACCTCTGCCCCATCCCGCGACCTCTGCCTCAGTCAGCACCAGCTCCGTCCTGTGGGACCCTCTCGCACATTCACGTCTGTTCCGCCTCCGGAGGGGCTGGGGCGCCTGGGCCTCCCACCCCACCCGGTGTCCCCCCCCCCCCCGCACACAGCCAGAGAGCACCCGTCACACAGGGCAGGTCACCTCCCCGACTCAGCGCCTTCCCGTGGCCCCTCCCCCAAGCCCTCGCGGTGCCCCCACCCAAGGCCAGCTGCCCCCACTCCCCGACCGACCCCCCTCACACCCCTGTTCCAATCCCACTTAGCGTCTGCCCAGGATTTCGCCCCAGATGTCTGTCCCCTGGACCACTTTCTCTGTGCACACCCCCACCTCCACCCCCGCCCTCGCTCCCTCTCAGCCTCCCGGAGAGCTGCGTTCAGACCTCACCTTTGCCTCAAGGCCTCCCCGGACACCCAGATAAACACCGACACCCCTGCCGCTGCCACCCCACCCAGCTGGGTGTCTCCCCTGGCGTGTGTCACCTAATCAATAGGATGTCGTGGAATGGCATAGAAAGCAAAGTGGTAACTTCTCTGTGTCTCCCACGTTGTCATCCTCGCCCCTCTCTGCTTCCCCACCCAGCCACCATCTCCGCCTCGGAACTCTCGCTGGCTGACGGGCGGGACCGGCCCCTGCGGCGCCTGGACCCCGGGATGATGCCCCTGCCCGACACAGCTGCCGGCCTCGAGTGGTCCAGCCTGGTGAACGCCGCCAAGGCCTACGAAGGTAGGCGCCCTCCCGGCCGCACGCTCTGTCCTGTTGGGAACTCACGTGGCGGCTCGGGGCCCGCTCAGAAGCAGCCCGAGTGGCGCTCGCCGCACTGTGGGAAACATGTCGGGCACAGGCCACTCAGCCGATGGCATCCGACACGCCGTCACGGTCGGCGTCGCCGGAACCCAGAGCACACCGAGGTTGGCGTGGCAGGAGGCACGCGAAGGCTTCCGGCGCTCTGACCTGGCAAGGCAGCTGCGCCCTGACTCCACGCGGGCGCCGGGGCGCCTTGCACCTCTGACTCTGCCGCTTTCGGGGAAAACACTGGAGCCCCGGTGTGGTGTGCAGCTCTCACCGGCAGGAGAGAACAGGGTGTGCTCCCCCAGGACCCTCAGAAAGTGGCTTTTTAACCACCCTAAGCCTCAGTTTCCTGCTCTGTGAAACGGGGTCCTGGTGAGATCGCGGTGATCTCTGACAGACACAAACATGCTCTTCTGCTTCATTATTCGTCCTCAGCGAGGAGCATCTCCTAGTCTGGATCAGACACCCCTCGGCTCACGGAACCCCCCAGCCCTGGAATAGCTTCACAGAGCTCGGGGAAGCACACTTACCATCTAATTCAAGGGTGTGATGAAGGGTACGGAACAGGCAGGGGAGAGGCGCAGCGAGCTGGGAGGGTCCTGCGGCAGGAGCTTCTCTCCCTGTGAGCTGGGGGCTTCGCCCTGCCCGTGGGTGTGGCCTCCTGCCTGGGAGCCCTCCCGACCCCCTACTATGCCTCATGACTCCAGCCCCTCGCCCCTCTTTGGAGGGTGGGGCAGGGCTTCTGCCCATCAAGGCTGGGGACTGCCCAGGATCCGCTCAGGAGAGCAAGAGGTGCCCGATGCTCCTGCTGCTCTTACAGCTCCGGAAATGGCGGCCTTGGGGGCTCCCTGCCAGGCAGCAGAGAGGACAGGTAGCTATTCTGCGGCCCGTGTCCCAGAGCGCGCTCTGTGGGGGACACGGGAGCAAGGGGTACTGTCCTGGGAGAAGCGCAGGGCGGGTGCTGGGGCCACGAGGCCGCCTCCTCGCCCGTCTCCAAGCTGCAGCGGTGTGGCCACCGGGAGGCGGCTGGAATAGCAGGCGGCCAGCGTGACCCTACAAGAGGAGTCCATTAGTAAATGGAGAAGAAACGAGGGGCAGAGGAGACGTCAGCAGAGCAGCACAGTGGAATCGCTGGTGCCGAGACGGGAAACACAGTACAGAAGCAGGACATTTACACAGCCTGGAAGCTGAAGTCCCCCTCTCCTGGGACTGGGTGCAGCGTGTCCCCAGCCACTGAGCGGGCAGCTCCGTGGGCCCACCCTGACACCTCCCCCAGGCCTGCTCTTCGAGGCTGGGTAGAGGGGAGAGGGGAGCGCTCCACGTGGTCTTTGCAACTCTGCTGACGTCTCAAATTATTCCTGCCTTTGAAGGGCAGGAGGGAGTGGACAGGGCCACAGGAGCCCAGGCGGTGAGGGCAGCCGGGGAGGACACGCACCCGAGCGGTGCCTGCCCACCTCCCCTGGCTGTTTGGGTCTTGGGTTTGGAGTTTAACTGAAGGAGAGGAGCAGCCGGGGGGATCAAAGTCTAAAAAGCGAAGGGTGAGCCTGAGAGGTGACCAGAGTGCTGGCAGTTGATGAAACTGGCGATGGGCTTGGGAGGACGGTGGACACTTTTCTCTCAGCTTTAGGGCGTTTTTGCAGCTGCTCACAGCCAAACATTTTCAGCGAGGATCAGTATTGGATCCCACATAGAAAACAACAGCTTTCAGGGATATTGTCTGAGAACTGGGGCGATTCAGGGTGATGCCTGCCAGGGAATGCTGTGCAGGGGTTACATGTCTTGAGTGACGACAGTCCGGCGTGACAGTCCAGGAGGTGGCCTTGTGTTTGGGAGAAGCGACCTGAAGTGTGGCGGTCTGCCCGCGCCTGGTCAGGGAGAAGTCTCGGGTCAAGAGCGGGGAGGTAAACGTGGCAGAACATGGAGGTCGCTGTGGCTAGGGAGAGTCGCCGTGGGTAGACACGAGGGTGAGCCAGAGCCCCCGCTCCTGGCGGTCCCCCGCGCCCTCTGCCCCGGGCGCACACGCCCCTGCTGCTTCTTCCTGACGCTGAGTGTCCACTGTCTGGCTGTTCCATGGCCACGGAAGCAGCCGTCCTCCGAGGGCCCAGGACCAGTCGGTCCTGGGCATTCCGGAAAGATCGCCTGACAGTGCCCATCCCCAGAGCTGGGACCCAGGAGTCTGATTTCTTTTCTCTTCAGTGTGCTGAGGAGACTTCACCAGCGCTCTCGGAGTAGAGTATAATGAACCCCGAGTGCTCATCACCCAGCATCCCCCCTCCACGTGGGCCTTTTTTTTTTTTTTTTAATAACATTTGTGGCTGAAATCAGGTCATTAATGCTGAATTTGGGTGGCTCTTTCCTCACATTAACTTTGTCATTTAACTTCTCTCTCGAGCCTCTGAATTTTGTATAAACTGCTCGTCGCCTCTGAGGCTTGATCAGAATCGGTGGGATTTGTTGTGTCCGTCAGTGGGTTTTGACAAGGATCTCCCCAACCCCCGAGAGCTGGAGGTGGCCTGGAGTTGGGGGAGTTTTGCAGAGAGAGACATGGGAGTCAGTTGGGGTGTGAGGAGGAGTCGGGAGCCCTGTTGACCCCACACCCCTCCTCTCTAAATGGGATATCTCAGTCTTGATCTCTAATCATTTCCTGGCAGTGCAAAGAGCTGTCTCGCTCTTCTCTCTCAACGACCCGGCGCTGAGCCCAGACACCCCGCCTGCACACAGCCCTGTCCACAGCCGCCTGAGCCTGGAGAGGGGGCCCCCTACCCCCAGGACCACTCCCACCATGAGGTGAGGTTTCCCCGGGAATGGGCCTGAGGAATGGAAGAGAAACAGCGGGCCGGAGTCAGCTCCCCAGTCACCCCTTGCGGGAGCTGGCAGGTCCGCTCTGACCTGGCAGAGTTGGGGAGACACGAGACCCCATCTGCAGCCTCAGCTTCCACAGCTTATTAAGCGAGGTCCCAGAATGTTGCCTACGATAAGGTATTTTGCGAGAGAGCGAAAGAGCGGGCCGCGTTCACCCCACTGAGCCCAGTCCGGGGCGGCCGTCCCGTTTCCTGTCGCCGCTGTGCCGGCTCAGGCTAGAGGCCGCTGGCCGCGGGAGGAGGGAGACGGCGCACACGCAGGGCTCTGCGCTGACCCCGCCGCAGGCACCCAGCGGCGTCCTGGAGTGGGCCCCCCAGCGCGTAGGGGTGCAGTTTAGTCCCCAGGCTGTGTTGCAGCCACAGGCAGCCCCACCCCTGCAGTCAGGCGGAGGCGACACCAGAACCAGAACCAGAACCAGCGCGCTGTTGGCCCAGCTCCGACTCTGGGGAGCCCGTCAGCAGTGCCCGCCGGCCCAGCCTCCACCCCGTCCGCTCCCGGGGCTCCTCTGCGTAACCCTGAGTGTGGCGGGCCTTCACTGCAGCTCCTTCGGCCTCTCAGCCAGGCGCCCTGCGGGCTGACCGGGACCCAGCAGTGGCTGCGCCCAAGTGGCACCTCAGCGGCCTCCCGGGGAGGGAGGAGCAGCGGGCGGCTGTGGCCGTGTCCTCTCGCCCAAGTCCTCTCGCCCCAGTGCAGGTGTTCCACAGCACCCGCCTGCGGGGGAGTAAAGCGGAAAGAACGGGAATGCGGTGTTTGCCGCGCACCTCACACTCCGCCCGCCCCACCCGTGTGCAGTGGTGGAGACACCAGGGAGTGACCCCCAGGGCGCAGCAGACCTCTCCAGTCTCCCCGCTGCTCCCCTCGGCAGTGTGTTTCAGTCGATCTGCCTGTTCTGCTCCCCACGGTGTCCCTGGCGAATCCTCTCACCACCTGCACCTCTGGCCTGTATCCCAGTTCTTCTATGCAGAAATGAATACAATCTTTAAAAATGAAAAAAAAAAACACTCCCGCCAGCAAGGTGGCCCCACTGTATACAGCCTAGGCCCCACCACAGCGAGGCCAGGAACTGGGTGAGGAAGAGGCAGCGCCCGTGGCCTCTGGGGCACTCCTGCCCCACCCCAGCTTCCCACCTTCCCTTGCAGCAGCAGATCCCAGGGTCACGCCGGGTCCTGAGTGCAGTGGCCTGCTGGGTGCCGAGTGGGAAGCTTCGCGTCTGGTACCTGCCACCAGGTGTGCAGGCGTCTGTGCCAAGCCAGGTGGGCACACCTGGGAGGAGCTTCTCCCGGATGCCTGCACATGGCCCGTCTTGGGGGTGAGGGCTATACACTTCAGGGTGAGCAGACACAGCTGTCGCCCCCCATCCTCATCCACAGATGTGCCCTCAGTGGGTTTGGGCAAGGAACCCCCGAACATAAGCATGAGGGGCTGGCCAGAGGGGGCTGACTTCTGGCCTCCCCAGGCCTCGCTTCTCGGCCACCCTCAGGCCTCAGCCAGGGCAGGAGACCTCCAACCCAAAGGCCCTGACCAGGGCCATGCTGACCTTGGGCCTCACCTGTCCTCTGCCTTGCAGCGAGGAGCCACCCCTGGATCTGACAGGCAAGGTGTACCAGCTGGAAGTGATGCTGAAGCAGCTGCACACGGACCTGCAGAAGGTAAGGCGGCCACACCTCTGCACGGACCGCCCGGCCCTCCCGGCGGCCACCCAGCCCTGAGCGTGATCCCGAGTGAGACTGACACCAGGCGGGCTCAGTCTGGGAGGGGGAGCGCATTGCCCCGACCTTCCTGGGGGGCCCTTGGGCGACACTTGTCAAGATGCGATTGCGGGACCCCGTCCCACAGATGCGAGCCGGCAGGCCCGTGGGCAGGGTGTGCGCTGCCGCACTGGGGGCAGGACACGCTGGGCCGGGCCGCGGGAGCCAGGCCGGGCCGCCACGCACAGTGGCCACGGGAATCTGCAGTTACTAACAGGTGTACGGTCACGCAGGTAAAATGGTAAGCAAACTGCAAAACCGTCTCCTAGAGTATCAGACTTTTCAAAATAAAGACGCTGCCCACCCACAACAGTCAGAGGGTCAGAGGGAACTCTGGAAGGCGACATTCCAAATCGTTCATGTGCTCACCTCCAGAGTGTAGAAAAGTGAGAAGAAATAGGGCGGCCGAGGCTCTGGCGTGTTGCTTTATCTACTTCGGAGTTACGTGGCGGCCGAGCACAGCGTGAGGTCTCGGGCCACCGGTCCCAGGAGCCACTTGAGCCCCCCACCGCGCTCACGTTCTGTGACTCAGACAAGTCACCGCCTTCAGGCGTGCTGCTGCCGGGGTGGGGGGTGTCCCGGGACAGGCAGAGGCGCCTGCTTGGCAGCGCCCTCCTCCCTTCCCCCCACACACACCCCAGCTCCCCGATGGCTGTGCGTGGCTTGGCACGACGGTCCCCTAGGGTGGCTGTGAGGGGGCAGCATGGTGACGAGAGCAGCCGTGATGTTTGTCCACTGGGCCTCCGCGTCAGGCTGTGTTCAGTGAGCTCCACGCACATGAACCCAGGAACCCTCATCACCCCACTTAGAGTTGAGGAAACGGGGCCCAGAGAGATGGAAGGTCTTGCCCCAGGTCGCTCGGCTGTGGAGAATGTGAGCTGAGGCGAGGTCCTGCCGGCCTGCCTGGCTCTAAGCCGTGGCCGAGCGGGGCCCTGGGGAGCCTGCCCTGCGCCTGCTGATGCCCGCCCCGTCCCGCAGGAGAAGCAGGACAAGGCCGTGCTGCAGTCGGAGGTGGCCAGCCTGCGGCAGAACAACCAGCGCCTGCAGGAGGAGTCGCAGGCCGCCAGTGAGCAGCTGCGCAAGTTCGCAGAGATCTTCTGCAGGGAGAAGAAGGAGCTCTGAGGAGCAGAGGCCCCCGCGCCCCGGCCCCTCCACCCTGGCTCGCTGGGTCCTACTCTCCTCTGCCTGTGGCAGGTGTGACCAAGCTAATCCAGCCAGGGCCCCACCGCCGCCACCCCCATGAACACAGACACCCCCAGGGCGGGGGGCCAGAGGGAGGCCCCGGCAGTGAGCCCGGTCTGCTCCCGGGGCGCCGCCGCCTCTGGTCTTCCTCTGAGCTGCTCATCTCTGCTCCTGGGGCCGGGCTGTGCCCACAGCCCTCTCGGGGGGCTGCCCTGCTGTCCTCAACGAGCCTCTTCCTAGGACCAAAAGCCATCAGAAGCTGAGGAAGGGCCGGGGAGGGCAGGACCGAGTCTCCCACCCCCACAACTCCGGGAGTTCACAGACCAGGTTTCTTCACCACGTCAACAGCCTTTGGGTCGTGAGGCCACGCCCCTGCATGGAAAGTCACTTCTCCCCCACACCCAGAGAGGTGAGGGCCTCGAGTGGGGCCTGAGCTCCAGGTCCCTGGTGCACGCTAGCTCCTACAAGCACGGACATTATCCCCTTCCCATCCTGCCCCTCCAAGAAGCTACCAGGAGCACTTTGTTAGAGTTTCAGTTCTTTTCCTGGGGATCCCAGGATGGACAGAGGAAATCCCAGCATCCGGAGTCCACTTCTCTGAGGGGACACGACTTGCACACTCGAGACCATTTTGCAGTCTTTTTCTGGCAGCCCCTCACACGAGGCCACGGTGCCTGGACCCCTCCGCCTCGGAGCAGCGGACCCTCCAGGCCGGGCGCCAGCCTGCACAGCCCCCTCCCCCGCCAGCTGCCCCCACTCGGCCTGGCCTCTTGGGGCGCAGGAGGGGCTCTGGCTCCAGGAGCCCTCTGTCAGGGCTGGAGAAACAGCCTTCACCTCTTCTGCTTTGTCTCTCTTTACAAGTCTCTCAGCCTATCTTGCAGGCCCCAGGTGGCAGCGGCTGGGACACCCCCTGTGCTCCTGGGGGGCGCTTTGCCCTGCGAACACCCACAAGACGCTGGTTCTCTAAAGGCAATAAGGGGCCGCTTGCCAGGCAGCCGAGCCGGTGTGGTACTACACTTTTTTTCCTTTAAAGACAAACAAATATATATATATAGACATATATATATTTATTTTTTCATGTAGAGTTGTGCCAGAACAAGTCTGTATGGCCACAGCCTGTGGATTCCCTCAACCTCAAGCTGAGGATCAAGGCCTGTCCCCCGTGGGCTGGGGCCCAGCGGGAGGATGCGGAAGGAACAGTTCAGAGGGACCAAGTCAGGGTGGGCCCGGCCGGCCCCTGTGGGAGGCACCAGGCCAGGGAGCTGGCGCGGGCAGCCTGGCCCAGAGCCGCGCCCTCTGGCCAGGAGCCCAGTCCACGCAGCCCAGGCCTTGTCCAGAGACCCTATTGCCTTCTCTCTGGGGCCAGAAACCTCAGGGAAGGGGACTCGGAACAGGACACGGCACTCTGGGAGGTGCCAGACTGGAATGGCGGAGCGGGAGGAGCGGCCCGCCCTGGCCGCACTGTAGTCCCGTGAGAGGCGCCCTGAGCTCGCCTGGCACCTCAGTCCCTCACCCCAGCTGTGAGATGGGGCAGTGGGGTGGGGCCTGCCCAGTCCTCAGCCCTGGCCAACTACTGTGATGTCTCCACCCCTCTTCCTGGATCCCCTTTCCAGAAGGTTCTCCAGGGCCATCCCAGCCCCCTCTCCTCAGCCCCCAAATCTGGAGCCTACCCTCCCTGGCCCTTTTTTAAGTTGTCTCATATCTGCACATCATTCGAATCATTTTGGGGACCTAATCATGTACATTAACAAGTGTAAATTATGATTTTTGGTTTTGTTTTCTGTTATTTTTTTAAAGATCTCTGCAAAACAAATCCAGTTTATTTAATTTGAGATTGGTATTCTATCTGATGACTGAAGATAGCTGCAGGGTATTTTTTTTTTCATATGTTGATTTCATTTGGATTTTTTATTCTTTATTGTCTTTTTTTTTTTTTTTTCTATCCCTGTCTTGAGATTTTCTGGCATGTTTCTGGAGGTTTCAAAGGAAATAAATGTTTCATAGAAATGGCTTGTGCATTCACTAGCTGGGCAGTGGCCTGGAGTGACTGAAGAGGGGGTACATTCCGGGGCGGGGCGTTCCTATCCTCCTTTTCCCAAGCACCATCACTGCCCCCACACACACCCCAACTTCCCTAAGAACCAGCCTTATAATAACTTCCTTTCCTTGAAATCCAAATAACAGGAATTCAGCGCTCAGAATGTGAAGTGTCCATTGGTGGGAAGGAGGGAAATTCTCCCTCATCAGGCACACACTGGATGCCTGACAGCCAGACCCCCCAGAGTTGTTTGGTTTTAGAATTAGTGGTCACCTTGGGAAAATCTGGAGGTTGTCCATGAAGAAATAGTTTTCCAGCTTGGTGAACTATCCTTCCAGCCAAACTCAACCGAGGGGCCCCAGGCCTGGCGCTCCCCCAGGCCACACCCTCCAGGCTGGCTCTCCCATCTGTGAGCCCCCCCAGAGTGGAGAAGTGGCCCCCCCCCAGGGCCGCTGGCCCTGCTGGGACCAGGTTGGAAAGTCCTGACATGGGAACCCCTTGCCATTTCACCCGGGGCTCAGGGTCGCACTTATTTTTTAAATCTCTGCATTCTTCCTGGAAAGCTCAAGGCCCCGGCTCCTGGGGGTCTCCCTGGGCCACCTCATCCATTACCTGCCGTTGAGTTTTCCATCCTTGATCTAAACCTTGATGTTTCTCTGATTCACAGCCTACACACAGAAAAAAACTTTTTTTTCCCCAAAATGGATATATATCCTTTTTCCAGAGGAGCTGGACCAGATAGTTCCACATCTCCCAAAAATTCTAGAGTATTCCAGACACTCCCTGTCTCTGCCCTGCTTGAGGCCCCATCCTCAGCTCACACTGCCCTCCCCCCACCAGCACAGAAAGACAGAACAAGCTGTTCTCACATCCTCTCCTGGCGCCTGTGACACACACCAACTTCCAACACCCCACAAGGCGTGCGCCGGCCCCAGGTGTCCTGCAGCCTCCCCGCCGCCTTGCCCCAGTTTCCAGCTCCCTGGGCCCCCTGTCTCCCCCAAAGCCCCCTCCTCCTCCAGTTCTCTCCTCACCCAATCTCTCCCATTCCCTCTCCAGACCCTTGAGAGACCTTTGCCTCTCTCCAGACTTTTCTATTGTCCCCCCCATCCCCCACCCCCATTCTTGGTGTCCCCCTCTCCCTGGAGCCCATCTTCCACGGCGTGGTGTGCTGCAGGTCTCTGGGGCTGGACTCTGACTGCCTCCTTCCCAGCAGTGTGACACCCTGGCCCTCTCCTGGCATCTCTGTCCAACTCGCCTGCCTGTCTCCCAATCACCAGCTCCTTCCTCCTCTCTCCAGGGTGTCTGCCTCTTTTATGACTATTATGTCTTCTCTCCCACTAAATCTCCCTTCTGTTTGCCCCAATCTGGCTCCCCCTCCCATTATTCCTGGGGCTCTCCTCATCTACATCCCCAGATCTGTTTGCTCTCTCCTGCTCCCTCGCCCCCGCCCCCCCTTCTCTAAATTTGACTCTCATAATCTGTCTCTCTCCTGAGCTGTGTCCTGGTTCTCTCCTTCCTCAGCCCACCTCACCCAGAGCTCAGGCTCCCTCTTAATGCTCCCAGTGCCCCGTCTCCATGCCCCTCTCCATCTTTCCTTCCCTCCCTCCCAGTGGCTGGCACGGGCTCTCCAGGTAGCGGGCTGAGGAGAAGGTGCTCCCCTTCTCCCGGTGCTCCGCCCCAGGCCTGAGGGGCCTCCCGATTCTCCCATCCCTTCCCTTCCCCCAGCCCCCAGCTCCGTCCTCCCTCCTCCCTCTTCCCGCTGCAGCTGCAGCAGGCCGTTGCCAGGGCAACCACAGCTGGCGGGGTGGGAGCCCCCTCCACCCCATCCCCCTTCTTTCCAGTGAGGCAAGAAGGAGCTGGGACAAAGCCAGAGAAAGGCGGGGTGCAGGGGCAGAGGGGGAGGGACGGGGAGGTAGGGGCCAGCTCCAGCTGTTAACCTCAGTTGCTTCCCCAAAGAGGCCCCATCTCCCCTTCTTGGTGACGCCCCAGACCGGCCTGGAGAATGAGGTAGTCACAGGCAGAGGGGTCAGGCCCAGTTTAATACACAGAACAAGTTAATTCACAGCAGAGGCAGGCAATAAAGGAAACTTCTACAAGGAGGGGTACGCCTGGACTGGGGGGACCCCCGAGCCCGCCACCTCCCCCACTTGCAGTCTCAATTTCCCTTTTTTTTAAACCCGAACAACAAACACACACAACCACAAGAAACAACCGCGCCCCCTCGCTGCCCCAAAAATGGCCAGCAGGGTGGCAGGAGGAGCCGGCCTGGCCGGTGGGGAGCTGGGGTGGGACGGGGGAGGAAACTAGTCCATCGCAGAGTCTGTGCTTCTCATTCCAGCAGGCGCCGGGCAGGGCCCGCCTGGCCCCACCAGCCCAGCTGCCAGCGAGGCAGGCCCGGGCACAGGCAGGGCTCTGGGGAGGGAGCAGGAACGGAGTTCAAAACCATGGTTCAATCATGCAGTATCCAGGCCGGCACCAAGAGGGGTGAGGGTGACCCCAACCCCCTGCCCTGGGCATGAGGGGTGGTGCCCACCTCGGGTGGGGAGGTGGGGCAGCTGGCTGCAACTCCAGAAACTGGGGGTGGGGGCACCAGGCTGGAAGCTGGCAGAGATGGTGCCCGGTGCCTGCAGACAGATGCCTCCGCAGGGCCCCTCCACCCAGCTAGGCCTTATAGGACTCTCTGTATATATTAATTTCTTTTTTTTTTTTTAACTTTTTGACTTTTTCTTTAGAAAAAGGCTGTGTCCATGCTCCCGGCTGGCATCCACCACCCCTCGTGACCGCCCAGAGGCGGGGTATGGCTTTGAGGGGAGCAGAAGCCCCTGGTGCCCATTTGCCAAGGTATGGGGAAGGAGGGAGGGAGCGGGGCCCCACTGGGCCCCCCAACCCACAGGGCAGACATTCCACTTGCACAGAGGAAAGAGGGCGCCCCTGCCCCCGCATGGGCTCCCCCCTCCTCTGCCACTGCGGGGCATCAAGGGTGGAGAAAGGAGAGCTCCAGAGGCAGGTAGGCAGCACCACCCCAGAGGTCCAGGTGAACCAGGGCCGGGCCTAGGTGAGGGTGATGTAGGCTGAGGCCTTCTCTTTCAGGTGCCGAAGACACAGGTGACAACTCCAGCTCCCTGTGGGGTGCGCGAGGCGGGCGTCAGGCCTGGTCGGTAGCCCAGGGCCAGCCCCCCCCAACGTCATGCCCACCCCGTCACTCACCTTCTGGGGGCTCCGCCATGGGGGGACTCAGGCAGTACATGTGGTAACCCCGATCGCAGTCATCACAAAACAGCAGCTGGTCCTGGGGGGTGAGACCCGCCCAGCTGGCACCCTGGGGGTACGGGCACCAGAAACCGGGGTGGGGGGCTGGGGCAGGGGCTATGTCCAAGGGGCTGGGGAGGTGGACCCTTCTATGAGCAAGGGCTCAGGAAGGATCTTGGCTTTGTGGAACCTTTGCAAATCCCTGCTGGGCCCAACAGACACCCGTGGACTCAGCTTGTGGCCTGTAGACGGGGTCTGTGAGGCTGTCTGGACACTCGCTGACTCTAAGGTGGTCAGTACCAGCTCCAGACGCACGTGGCTCTGGGTCCCAGCACTGCCATTTCCTAGTGGGGTGACCCTGGGTGAGCCATTTCCCCTCTCTGAGCTGTTTCAGTGCGGTGGGAGCCAGAGTGCCTACCTCGGAGGGTGCTTGGGGGAGTCAGGAAGAGGAAGAAAATTCAAGTACCGCGCTCAATTAACAGACACCGACAGAGAGCACAATGCCCGTCCCGGGTGTCCATGGGGAGGGGCCTCCAGGGAAAGGCTTCAGCCCCAGCTGGACAAGGTAGAGGTGACAGGCCGGAGGCCGGCGGGGGACTCACGTCGTTCTCCGAGGTGCCGCACAGGCTGCAGGACTTGCACTCGATGCACTGCCAGCGGTAGGTCCGCACGGCCGCGGTCATGTTCACGGTGAACTGTAAACACGAGGGGTGTCCTGGGGGCCGAGGGCAGGGAGGTGGTTAGGGGGCATCGGGGCCCCTGGTGGCAACAAGCCCCTGGGGAAGGAATGGCTGGGCCCCCCTGCTCAACTCGCAAGGCTGGATGAGCTGCCGTGACCAGGGCCTGGCGCCCACAGTGCCAGCATACCCCCAGGTCACTGGTCTCCTACCTGGCCACCATGGCAACCACACTCTGCTCCCGGAATGCCATGGCAACCACATGGCATTACCCACCATGCTGTGGCAACCCCCTTTCTGCCACCCACAAGGGCAGCACAGCCAGGTTCTGGTCACTGCCAGGCTGAGTGACCATGTCCCCTACCCACAGCGGAATGGCCAACCGGTTCTGTTACCCCCAGTAACATGGCAACTGCCATCTCTCCACCATATTGCCATGGCAACCGCCTTCCACAGCCCGGCGCCCACACCCCAGCTCCGTTCTGCCAAAGCCCAAGGCCCAGGGTGCCCCAGCAACAGACTATAACTGGCAGTACTGCGCCCCAGCCCCGTGCCACAGAACCCATTCCATCGGGCCCTGTTGCCATGACAACCGCATTTCACCAGGGCCCAGCTGTGCAACCACAGGCCATTCCCCTCCGTGATGAGGCAACCACCGTCTAGTGCCCACAGACCCACAGTGGGAAACCACATTCTGTTAACCACGGCTCCCGGGCAGGCGTCATGGCCCGCAGCACCCGGGCAGTGGGGAGCCATCACTCACTGCAGCCCACTCCCCACAGTGCCTTGGCAACCACCTTGCCTACTCCCCACGCCCACGTAAGTCCATGCCACTAACCTGCATTGCCATGACAACCACATCCCATCATTCCACAGCTTCTCTGACCCCACTCCGGTTCCCACAGTCCTCAGCAGCTGAGGCAGTCCCCTCTGGTTATCCACAGTGCCCCTGGGATGCCCTGGGGCCCCCCAAGTCTGCCCTGCCTCCTACCCTCCAGTCTGGACTGCTTCCCACCCTGGTCCCCAGAAACGTCAGGTGGGGTGTCACCTGATCGCCCACAGTCAGCACAGGAGATGAGGTCCTCGGGACACCCTGTCTTCTTAGAGCCACCCAGGCAGAAGTCACAGTAGCCATTGGGGATGACAGTGCCGTCGGGAGCCTTCTTGGCTGGAAGACAGCGGGCCGTGGGCTGGGTAGGCGGGGCTCCCAGACAAAGGCTGCCTCGGAACTGGGGGGCCGGCAGAGGGAGGCGTCCCTACCTGTGTGCTTCCTCTGTGCCTCAGGGACCCAGGCCAATTCTTTGTAAAACTCTGGGGGACAGAGAGAGGGGCTCTCACCACCCGCAAGGCTTCACCCTGCCCCAGCCCAGGAGCGGGGAAGGTGGGGAGAAGTCACTACCCCAGTCTGAGGCCAGAGGGGGTCAGATCACTTTCCTCAGCAACCCCCCACACACACACTCTTTGAAGACAGCTGACCCATCATCCCGTTTACTAGGTGAGACTTGGCGAATACAGCCTTGGGAGGAGGCCCGGCTTCACCGCTCACACCGCGCTACCAGGCGGCAGCCCGGCTGAGCCCCAGCGAGAGCCAAAGCGAGTAGATCGCACTGGCAGGCTCTGGTACGGAAACAGACATTCCAAAGAAAAATTCAGAACAGAGGTGCCTGGGTGTGCAGTGGGTAAGACGAACAGACTGCCCTGTCCCGCCAAGGGGTGGGCGGGAAGAGGATTTCTCGGCGGGCTCAGCCTCCCCTCCCCCAGCACTCAGCTGTCAAGGTTGGCACGGGGCGCACATGGGCTGGGGCGGACCTGGGCGGCCTCCAAGGGCTCCCAGGCCCCCGCCCCTGCCCCTGGGCCAAAGCTCAGCAGAGGAGGGTGAAAGGGAAGCAGGGCGGGAGGGGAGTCATCTATCACCCCCCTCCCCGAGCTCTAATTGAAACAATAAATCAGACCCAGAAATATTACGCCCGGCCGGGAGCGAGGGAGAGATGGTTGGTTGCCATGGCAACCCAGAGCCAGCATCCCCACGGTCGGTGGGGGAGGGGACCGCTGAGCTGGAGATCTTCCAGAAATGTCTGATGTGCCCCCCCAGACTCCTCGGCCCCCACTCCCGCGGCCCCTCACCCCGCGGCCGGCCTGCCTGCTCACGTTTATGACTGTTTTTCCGGTGGAAGGGCAGGGCGTGGCGGTCGGCGTTCTCCTCCCCCTCCTCCTCAGCCAGGTGGGTGTGGGTGTAGTGGTAGCTGAGCCCCGGCCGGTTCTTATACCGTTTCCCACAGACTGGAGAGCGAGCAGGGAGGGGGTCAACCCTCCCCATTGGTGCGGCCTGGCCACCCTGGCCTCCAGATCACGCCCCCCCACCCTGCCAGGCCTGTGCCGTCCCCCCACCCCCCCCACCCCGGGCCCAGAGCAGGAGGGAGGGGCCAGGAGGGCTCTCCCCCCTCTTCAGAAGGACTCACTATCACAGACATACGGCTTGTCTCGGTCCTCCAGGGAAGCGGTGTCCTGGCGTTTCCGGAGACCCCCGATGCCGTATGCCTGCGGGGAGTCGGGGAGTCGTGCTCTGGGTGGAAAGGCAGCGCAGGCCCCAAGTAGCTGGGCTCTGTTTCCTCAGCACAGCACAGGTGTGACGCCCTCCCCAGCCGGTGTGCTTTACAAGGGGTCTAACCTGGAGGGCCTGTTAGATGGGTCTGAAATGCCCTCCCCCTTCAGCTGCTCTGAGGATTGAGCGAGGTGAAACTGGCGCGGGGCCGGCCTCGGTGCCCGCTGAGGGAGGTCGGGTCCAGGAGGTCCCCTCCGAGATACCTTTCCTTTGGCCCTGTTCTTCCTCCTGGGAATGTCATCCTCCAGGTCTTCCACCTCCAGGTCATGCGGGAACTCCAGCAGCTGCTGTTTCTGGCACGAAGGGAAGGAGATGGCACTCAGGAGAATGGGGGGCATTGTTCTGCCTTGGGGGAGTTCTGGGCAGAGCTGGAGATTGGGGGCACGGGCACGGGGCGCAAGACAAATCAGGAGGCGCTCCAAACACATGAAATGTGGAAGGATGGAGACTTGGGAATGCCCAAAGCCCTAGCAGCCAGGGGAGACATCAGAGCACAAATGGCGTGTGTGGAATGGCAGCTGGGGGACAGGGCTGCTGGGGCCCCTGGCGTAGCCTTACCTGGCAGTCCATAATGGTCTCCTCCTCCTTCAGCTCAATCTTCTTCTCCCCTGTCTCAGCACAGAGTAGAGCCTCAAGAACCGGCCCTTCGGGGAGGCCGCCCTCCTTCTTCAGGGGTGCCTCACAGTCTGGGGAAAGGTCACTGAGGGTCAGACTGCCCAGGTGGGAAGACATGTGCTTTGCAGGAGGGAAGAGGCTTTCCCGCGTGCAACCCGCCGCAGACACAAAGATTGTACCACGCACACTGGGAAGGATGCCCAGACCCCGGGGAAGACAGACCCTCAGATCCACACAGACACGCTGAGGAAGTGATATGGCCGGGCCCTCAGCTCCACCTAGATACGTGGGGGAGACCCCCGCCACACACCTGGGTGCTATGGAGTACACGACATCACAGGGGAGGGACAGACAGACGCTCAGATACAACTAGACATTCAGAAGAGACAGGAACAGATGCTTGGATACACCCAGACACACGGAAGAAACATCCAGATCCTTGAGACACTCAGTCAGGCCATCAGACACATGCAGACCCACACGGGGACGGCACAGCCAGACTCGGGACACCTGGACACACCCAGGGGAGCTACAGGCACACCTAGAAAGAATCACTCAGATGGATACCCCTGGACACAGGCAGGTACACACAGTTCCTCTGAGGCAGTCAGACACACCCAGAGACAGTCATGGGGACACTCCAGCCCACCTGGATCCACACAGTCCCAGGGATACACCTGGACAGAGGAAGAGAAATGCCCAGTGACACTGACAGCGCCCAGCATGTTCAGGAAGTGACAACAGTCGACACTGGTCACACAGGGCAAAATACACCTAGTACAGCAGACACTGTGGGAAGAGGTTCTCCCAGACACCCCAAAGCATCTTTGGGAAGACATAGCCGGACACCCTGACATGCCCAGACACACTTGGGAAGAGCCACTTCCCCTTGACAGACCAGACACTAAAGAAATAGGCCCTCTGGCTCCATTATACACTGATACCTTGGGGAAACCTGGGAAAGACAGGCACGTCTGTTCCCATACCAGTGGAGAGGGTTACAGTCGGACATTAATACACCCAGACACACACAGGCACCCATCAGAATCACGAGGCTGAACACAGCACCTGATACACTTAGACACACGGCAGACACCACTCCGCCCCCCAATTCCCCAGGGTCCAGGTGGAAGATGCAACCCCAAACTCAGAACTGGGGGCTCCGTGGGCCACACCCGGACACACCCCAACAGAGGAGAGTGAATGTTCAGTCACAGGCTGGCAGCAACACGGGCTGCTGAGCCTGGGGGTGGCAACCGCCCAGCCCCCGCGGCCCGCGGCCCCACCCACCGATCTTGTACTCGCAGGGCCGGAGTCTGGGATCCTCCAGGATGTTCAGTCTCCGTTTCTTTCTCCAGCAGCGGGCGGGATACGTGTAGATCTGTCCCGGGGCCAAACCTGGGGTGAGAAGGGCGGTAAGACCGTGGCTGCACAGCCGCCGCCCCCACCCCGCCGCCCCGCCGGTACCCGGCCCGCGATGGGTCTTCTCCATCCAGATGTAGCAGTTGTTCTGGGCCACGCCGGTCTGCGAGTCCAGGAAGGGCAGGCGCAGGCTGCGCTCGGCGCACAGGCGCGCGTTGTAGCTGCGGCAGTGCTCGATGGCCTCGCGGTAGAAGTCCTCGCCGAGGCTGCGAGGAGGGAGGGCAGCGGCCGCTGGCTGTCAGCAAGGCCGGGCCAGCCCAGCCCGGCCCGGCCCCGAGGCCAGCACCCCTCCCCCAGCCCGCACTGGGTAATGGGTGGGTCATCGCCTCCAAACTCACCACTACCCTCCTGGACCCAAGAGCCCCAACTTGGGGCTCAAGCAAAGCTTCAGTCCCTGAATAGATACACACAATCCAGCAGCAGACAAAAATACCCCAGGACTCGGCAGCACATGCACGCCTCCAAACACAAACACACCACACAGTCGTGCAGGATTCACACACAAAGAGAGGAATCTCCCAAGAGTCACAAAGGAGAAACAGACAAATCTCACAGAGACGCATACTCACATAGCTACTGAAACACACACACACCCAAGTCCCAGAGTGTAGAAACAGATCACACCTACCTCTGCGCACAAGCCACATAGCCAAAGGCACACAACATAAACAAATTACCCACAAAGATACACAGCAGGCAGGCATCACACACCACACACACAGGCAAATACAAAATGTGAAGAGAGAACTAGAGAGAGAAACTACTCAGATATGCGCTCACATACCCAAGAACAACACAAACCTCGCACACACACTACGTCCGGACCCACTATACAATGCAGTCGGATTCACACAGGACTCACATGCGTATTCCCCAAGATGCACAACACAGAAACCAACCTCTGAGATGCTGTATATTGAAAGGCACAAAGATACACACACACATGCCACACAGAAAGAGACACATCCACCTCTGACCCCCCCAAATTTACACGCAGATGCATGCACATCTATGTATCCCAAAATACACAGCACAAGCCATGCCGTTCCAGAGGAGGTGCAGACACTCTCAAGGACCCCCAGAAGGCTGGCAGCGAATAAAAGGACTGAAACACACATCCACACTTTTGTCAAACGCACACTCGCTGGTGACACGCACTCCACACCCCGAGACAAAGGTAGTGTGGGCTTCCCTCAAGTTTACCAAGACCCCCGCATGCCCAGGCCGGTCCAGGCAGCCGGCCAGCCTGGAGGCAGCGGCGCGCCGCAGACCCCTCTCCCCGCGGAGGACCCGAAGTTCCCCCCACGCCCTCCGCTCCTTGCAGAGCAGCGCGGCGGACACCATTCTCGCCAGAGACCCGCGCCACACACGCACCCCCGCGCAGCTCCGCACACGGTGACAGCCCCGAGACACCCCATCGGCCCCACCCCCAGCCGCCACACATACACACGCACACACCCGCGCCCTCGCAGGTCCCCCGCGTCCCCGCCCCGCCCCCCCGCCGACCCTCAGCACCTCAGGGGGCCGGGAATGACCGTGGCCATCTTGCTCCCCGGGTCCTGCCCCCAGCAGGTCCCCGCCGGGTCGGTCCTCCCAGCGCTCGGGCGGGCACTGAGGCCGCCCATCCATTCATTCCCGGGGGGCGGGAGCTCGGGGGTCACAGCCAATCACCGCGGCGGGGCGGGCCCGCCCGGGCCATGCTGGGAGTGGTAGTCCCGAGTCTGGGGGCCGGCGGGACCCCGCGGGAAAGGGGGGGCGCTGAGGCGCCGTCACGCACACGCGCTCGCCCGTCCCACGCGGGCCTCCGGGGTTACACTCCCGTGCACACCCACACGCGGCGGCTGCAGCCGCAGGGCTACTCGCGGCCCCCCACAGCTCACGCGCACCCCACGCCGCCACGCAGACTCGCATTTACACGCACACCTCAGTGCCGGGGGACTCGGAGACACCTCACAGGTGCCTCACTCGGGTGCCACCAGCCCTTGCACTGGCTGGCAGACACGTGGCTCACTCCCCTCCCCCCACTCTTGCCCCTGGGCCTCCCCCGGAGCCTGAGAGCCCGGCCCAGTCCCCTGCGGGCTGTCACCTTCACAGTGACCCCGCCCAGCTCTACCTCTTTGGCCGGCCTGGCAGCGCAGTGCAAACTGAAAGCTGTGGCCGGCCTGGCAGCGCAGTGCAAACTGAAAGCTGTGGCCGTATGGAGGGTTCAAATCCTGGCTGGCCCTTGGTGGCCATGTGCCCTGGCGCCAAAGACTTATTAACCTCCTGGGACTCAGTTTTCCCATCTGTAAAATGAGGATGAGGCCTCCCGGGATTGTTGTGAGGATGAAATAAGTAAACGTGGGCCCATGTTTTTAGAGGTTACCTGGCAGGTAGTCAGTGCTCAATAAACTCATTCATGCCACAAAGAGCAGCTGACAGGTACTAAAAACGTGAAACGCTCTTCGCTGACCCTCACTGGCAAGGCCAACGCCGCCGATGCACATAACAGATGAGAAATAAATCTGTGATGAGTGAGTGCAGATAATGAGCACAGGCACTCTTTCAACCCTGCGGGGTTCCAAGTGCTCTCCAAGGCTCAACTGTCACTGAATTGTCATGATGACACTCGGGTGATGCTGTTGTTACCCCCATTTTTCAGATGAGGAACCTGAGGCACTGGGAGGTGAAGTTACTAGCCCCGAGCAGCTGCAGCTGTTTGAAAGTGGGACTGGGGGGCAGTCTCTCACCCAGAAGTGTGTCCACAGGTGGGCTTTGCCCTCCTCTCTCTCACGGTCACCCATTAACCATACCCTGGGGGATTCCCTGAGATGCCTGGCCCATCCTGGCGTGCAGTCTCTCTCTGCACATACACCCCCATCCCCTCACCCCACCCCCAAAGTTTCCATTCAGGTTTCAACCCATGCAGAGGCCACAAATGTCCTCGCCCCCAGGGGGCGCTACAGCAGGCTCAGAAGCACACTGGCCTTCACCTCTTAGGTCTGTCTATACCCCCACGGCCCCCCCTTCATGGTGAGAGACCCCTTCAAGGCCTCCTGCACCCATCATCTCTCTCTCTCTCTCTCACACACACACACCCTGCTCTAGCCTTAGACCCCTTCCATAAACTCACCCCACCAGTGTGAAGGAGTGGGTCTCTGCTTCACATGTGGCCCAGACTAAGTGACAAGGGGAGTCAGGGGCTCTGGCTTCCCCACACTCAGTCTGGCCCCTGTAGTGGCCTGTTCCTCCTCATCCAGGATCACCCCCGCCCCCAGGAAGCAGCAGCTCAGCCCAGAGTGCCCTCACCACCCTTCTCTCACCTCCCAGATTCCCCCAAAGCACTCTTACACCTGATCCCCACATCTATAGCCTCAAACACCCCTGCCACACCCCGTGCCCTGGCATTAAGTTCATCACTTAGGGCCTGAGTGTAAAGCTTGTCCCCACTCCAGAGGCCCTGTCCACAGTGGGGTTTGCTCCCAGACCCAGCTGACCCAAGGTCCCCCTCCTTTCCTCCTGCCTGGTCACCTTCCCAGACAGCTCTCCCACTTCTGAACTCCCACTTCACCCCTGTCCCAATAACCCTGCTCTGCCCACTAGTGCCCCACATGGAAACTGACCCCAGAAAGAAATCAGTTCCGATACTACTGTAACCGTCGCTGCTTTTAGGGGGGGGTCAGGCTCTGAGCTAAGTACTTTCCTAAGACCACCCCACGAGGTGATAAGAACTGTTATGACTCCCCATTTTACAGGTGGTAAAATTGAGGTGGGGGAATTCATAGCTGGAAGTTGGGGCTAGAAAGCCAGCAGTCAACTCTGGGGGAAGGCACCCTCCCACTCCCAAGGGGATCCTACTCCAACATTCCTTCAGGAGTGAGCCACCACCCTCCTCCCTGCAGACCCTCAGAAGGGGAGAGCAAAGATGGCCTAGTACTCCCTCTTGGCTCCCCCAATCACTTTGTCTCCCCCTAGCCCCCCTCCCATGAACTACTACCCTCCCTCCCCTAAGGGGAGGGTCAGAGTGAGGCGTGGGTGCTTATATATCCACCACCCTGCACAGAAACCCCATCCCAGTCAGTTTGCGGGTGCCCCTCATGGGGAGACTTAGATTGAGTCGGAAGCAAAAGAGGTGTCCGCATCTCACACGGACCTCCGGACTATATGGCCTTCCCAAGCCCCCCTTTACTCATGGCAAGCCACACGTGTAGGCGCGTGCCTACAAACGCTCCCGCGCTCCCAGCTCCCCCCCAACCACCGGCAGAAGCAGTTGGGGTTGGGGGCGGGGGCGGGGTGGGGGGGGTTTGGTCCAGCCACCAGTCACAACCCTCGCGCTGGGACTGGGGGCGCGCCCTCGGGCCCTTCCCTCTCCCCACT